TTATTTATTTATTTATTTATTTGAAACTAGTAGTAATTTGAGCAATTTGAAAATTGAAAAACATATATAGTATACTATAAAGTGTTTTATTAAGTTCAGTTGATATAAAAAAATCATTGGTATATGTAGTACCTATTAAATACAGCGGTTTTCTTGTAAATTTCGAGGTAAGTTTGTGATTTTTTTCACACCATATAGTAATCAGTGTATGTCCTCAATTTTACTACATATTTTTTACAAAGTGATTGATTCAACATTTCACAAACAAACAAACAAACCAAAGTCATTTCATGTAGTATAGATTCTTAAAAAAGTAACATTAAAACGCCTAGCACATATCACGCGGCGGACTTCCTATTCAATAAGTTTGACAACGTAATAATAAAGAAATTTTTATTGAATTGATATTCAATTATTTTTTGTGAAATTACTCCACTAGTTTGTTATAATTATTAATACAAAGATCGAACACTCCGAAAAAACCTATACCTATATATACGGGTATGTATATAATAAAAATTTCATTAATACAGTGAATAGCGACATCTCTCGCCAGGACTGGTAGCTGTAAAGGTACTAACTGGGTGATAAATCTGTCATATATTTCTCATAGATGGCGCTACGACTAAAAAGTCGTTGAACGACCAAGTACAAAGACACGACCCAAGCACATAGAAAAATTCGTGAGGTCCGTTGGTTCGTTCCGTGGCTTAGTTGGTATAGCGTCTGCCACGGTATGCAAGAAGATGTCGGTTCGAATCCGACCGGATCGAAGGAATTTTTTCTGAGTGTTCGATCTTTGTATTAATAATTATAACGTAATAATAATTTGTATCGAACGATCATCCATCTATGTACGTGCTACTGTTGTACACAGGTCTCCATAAAGCAGAAGGGGTACGATATATTATTACACAATTGTAAATAGAGTGGCACTTTTGTTAGCAATCCGAGCGGGTAACCTATCACAAACTCGACTTTTTTTCCGAAATAACGGTTGTTCGAATTTTCATTACACCGAAAACTGAATTACAACGAAACCGTTGGTCTTTCAGGATATGTTGGATATTTATCGCAAAGACAGGATTAGGTTCGGTTATGTTAAAATAATAAAAAAAAAAATTCGAGTAAGCGTTATTTCTGGAAAATATCATTTCGGACTATTATTTATTCCGGAGGTGACCCCTGAGCGCTAAGTGCTAAAATCTCGGGTTCAATTCCCGAAGGATTTTTTAAATTGGTTCTGTTGGTTTGGTAGTCATATTATTTGGAATAATTCTGATTTGATGCCCTGTAAAACCAGGTTTTGTCGCACAAGTATAATATAACATAGTAAAATATATAAGACCCGTGTTCCTTGGTGATATGTTCCATAAGATTGACGTTAGGTTTATTTTTGTCATTCCAGTTCCATCCCAAAGCATAGACCAAACTCCCAGGGAATACGATAAAGAGTACTTTATACCTAACGAACTAGTTTTAGGTAAATATTCAGCTATATCTATTTAGTTATATAATTATCTTCAAAGCTATATACAGTGTGTCCCCTTAGAGAAAATACTAGACACAATGGAGTGATAATTGTCATATTTCGAAATTGATAAGTGCTTTATCTAGAACAATGGAAATGGCCAGGGTATAGAGCAGAAAGTAAACTTTAAGTGCATATGCACACGGTGTAGTTTATAGAAGCAAACGAAGATTCTTTATATAGGCTCAAGAAGTATAGTGTTTGCGTATGAATTGATTAAAATATGCTATGTCATGCCAATACAAACGTGCGCCAGATGCGCGTTCAAAGCACGTCTGTAATAAACACACACAAACAAACAAACACAGTGTTCCCAAATTATGATCAGGTGCCTGATTCTCTGATTTTTACCGATGTCCATTTCGAATTTTGTCTTTTGATTAATGTGACTGTCGATCGACTTCAAAATTTCAATACCTACATATCTATGTCGTGCGTCCGAAAATGTTAATTGTAAGTTTTTCAGCGAATAATATTGGCAGCATTGCATTACTGACTTATTGAGAGGTGATTGACTTCAAAGTGACATTTGTAATCAATAAATATTACATAGACGATAAACGATGATATTTGCACTGAATAACGACACAAGAAGCGGCGACAAAGTCTGTTAAAAAAAAGTCGAATGCATGTCGAGTGATGCTGACTAGTCGACATATCAACGAAATTATCGAGTAATAAATTATAGACAAAAGTGTATTGAGAAGTCGTTATAATACGGGCGCTCGACATATTGTCGATTATTCGACGTAAAATACGTCTACGTCGATTTACATCTATTACGTGAGAATCAGGCCACAGGATAGGACATTTAGAGTTAAGCTTAGCAACAATCCAATCGCAGAACATGATTTTGGAAAACTAACTTCACAAGTTTTCGATTTTTAAACTTAGAAATTACAAATAGGACTACTTTTACAATTCAAAAAATTTCAATTTTACTAAATATTTATTAACACGATTTTAACAGGCATTTAAAACACTATAGTATACTAGAAGCCGTAACGTAATTTTTTCTTAACTATTACGCGTTAGTAGCATTCACAAATAATTTATAAATATAGGTAACCACAAAAACAAAATCCATGCGAGTTTTTTCATTCAAAACGCCTGAGAGTTTAATGAAAGCAAATACGCACGGCATATTTAATAAAAGCAGTTGCTGCACGTTTTCCAAAAGCGCTTTTAAAGCGACGTTGTGCAAATTATAATTATTATTATGAGTTTATAGAGTCCCAAGCATGCTAATTTAAGTCACCTCAATTGTGTTCGATAGAGTGTAAATGGCAGGATTTTTTACATTTGTTATTCTGCTAAAAGAGAGAATCTGCTAAAAAAATCTGCAATTTTTTGGTATTCTGCTCTTCAATGGCGTAACCATGGCACATCGATGGTGCAGTCTAACTGTTTAACATTAAAGCGCTGATTAAATGAGATAAAAATTTAGATATCGCACCATGACCGCTGACTTGTAATCAATATTTTTACCTAAACAGCGTTTTATATTGCAAATATGATATTTGAACTATAACGGATAAGGACGCGTCGACATATCCCGCCAAAATTATATATAAAAAAAATTAAAAAAAAACCTAATTTATCCTGTTTTAGTGTAACCGACAGAATCAATATTAAAAAATTATAATGAAAGTGCCTCGCTTGTTATGGCAACCGATATAGTACATCACTATTTCGTCGTTTACCATAAACAAAGTATTGTTGCATATTTTTAATCGCAAGTGTTACAACACACAAAGAACGGGTGCGGGTCGGGAATGTGTCGGGTCGGGAGCATGGCGGGTGTGATTCCGTGTATTTATATGGACGCCATCACACCACGCGCGGGCGCGAGATGGGACCGACCCGACACGCCCTCGACCCATACCATCAGTGTATTTCACGCTTAAACGCCTGAAAATCTCAAAAATCTTTGGATAGATATAGCAAAAATATTGTAAGCGTGAAAAAGGCTTAACATCCATTGTTTAAAAAAAAATGTGTTAGACAATTGGTTACGAAATTCATTATTATATACTCCCGGACACATAATTCGTGCCACCTCGCATTTTTGTCGTAAAGGGCTAAAATAGAGTTATCATCGAAGAAAAACTTTTCCCCCGGTTTTGCAAATCCAAATTCCTAAGGACTTATGGAAAAGAAGTTTAGTATACTAGTTTCAAATTTGTGTAATAGCTTTTGATCATTCAAACATTGTTTAACACGCTCCCTGTGCATGCATCATATATGGTGCATTTCGAGTTCCAAACGATACGTGAGTGCATCACATATGGGGCATGGCCCTTTATAAATTTAAGCGCTAAATAAAATTTGCACGTGTAAGCTAGATCATCTTTATTAACTTGCACGTATGGATCACAAAAATTGTGACAATTAACATGTGGTACCGAATGACTTAACCAATGTTGTCAAATTATCACTGTCAAAATAAAACACAAAAAAAGGAACTAGTACGTGCTTGCACCATTAATGTGGCACCAAGTAAAGGACTCATACGGTGTGTATCACATGTGGGGCACTTGGGAAAATTGAGAAAATGGGAAAGGGGTGTATGAAAATGATTTTTACATCCATAAATGTATTTATATATTTGCAAAATAAAAAATTTGCACGTGAGGGGTCAATTTCTGATTTCCAATTACACAGGGAACGTGTTAAGCTTAGGGCACTTAATACTGAAAATGCGTGGTGGCTCGAATTATGTGTCCGGAAGTGTATATTAAAATTCTATTTTGTATGACATTTACAAAATTAAGTAGAAAGATTTTTAAAAAATCCTCTCCTGCAAAATTTAAATGTTATTTCGATTATTTTCGATATTTTAGTAAGGCAACGTCGATCGTTAGTGATTATAGAAAAAAAAAACAAAAAATGGCCGTTTTTTTAAATACAGTTTTTAGTAATTTTTACATGAAATATTTTTTTGTTTAAGTATATTACGTTTTGAGTTTACTAATTATTTGCATTATTTATAATTATTTCTTGTCATTATAAACATTACAATTACCAGTATCTTTTTCTTATTACACCAATTGACGGGACGAATGAGTCGTGCGCCAGGTGGTACGCGGCACGCCTATCCATGACAGTTGCAGTGTCACTCAGAGCTTTAAATCGCAAAGGTCTTAAGCCTCTAACTCTCTGACTGCGCTCGTCACCGTGAGACAAAAGTTGACTAGTCCCATACACCTGTAATTTCACCAGCTTCCTTACGCTTCAAAACCGGAACACAGTAACGCTCACTGCTTTGCGGCAGAAAATGGGTAAGGTGGCAGTAGTTCACAAGGGGCTCTACTGTACTAAATTACTGGTATCGAACTCGTTTGCGCGTGCGTCGCCGTCGTCTGCTATTAAAAATACCTCGTGTGTAACTATTACCATAAAAGCGTAGAGAAGTTTTTTGATTATTGTTTTATTTTTGCAGAAACTCTAACACCTGAAGAAAAGTCCCTGAATGTTGTGGAGCAACAAAAGCCAGAAAAAATATCTTTCATTCGTTTCATAAGTAAGTATATATTGCAATGTTTATGTTATTAAATATCACAACGGTTTTACTACTACGATTGCACTGTTAATACAATTGTGTATTAACTCAAAAAGCGTATTTTTTGAAAAACGAATACTCACTTCCCGTAAAATATCTTAAAATTCATGTATAGGGCAAATAAAGTTTATTACTGACATCTGAACAATTTCCTACTGGCACAATTTTTTAACAATAAATGGGAAGAAATAATTTCATATTTTTGAGCAAGGACTGTACAAATGGCCCAATGCCGGTGAGCCATCAAAACCATCGTCGACGTGAAGATTTCATCACTTTGTTCACCGCAAAGCTCATGGCAAATTTCAAATTATATTTCGCAAATAAATTCCGAGAAACTCACGAGGCTAGCTCGGGTTCGAACCCCACGTCCCTCTGCTTGAAAGGTATTAGACTACCACCACGTCAAAATTAGGCAACCACGGCTTTTTCTTTAAAGTCAAAGTCAAAGTATTTATTGCTTTCATGTGTTACAAATGATCTTAAAGCTAAAGTAGTATCAACATGACCCTGTTAGGGCGCCGCAATTTAACCATATGTACTTAAACAATATCTTTTCTTTTTTAAATAAAAAAACATTACCTAAAGTTACTTTTAAAGACTAGATTATAAATCAAATTAAAAGCAAGTAAATTGAAAATATATAGCTGACATTATCGCTTATTATGACATTATAGCCTCCATTTATCTTTCTTCTACTTATTTTACAGTGAGCAATTTACTTGTTTAATATTTTTAGTGGAATATAATTTAAATTTGTATTAATGATAATGGAAAATTAATAACTATTTGAATTTATACTACACTCACTTAAACATATATGTATATAAACTGCTAGGATTATGTAAGTATTCGATATAAGAGTACACACTGAATAACACTATATACATACATATCGACGCTTGAAAGGCAAAATGGAACAAGCGACACTTGGGTCATTAGCTAATTCCAACGGTATACATAGCTCAAGTTGCAATGCACACGTCCGTCATTAGCTCGCTAGGGTCCACTGAAAACCTGCGCCATAGTCACACACACGTCAGTCTAGTATTAAGCTATACTATTATATCCTGTTTTTGTGTTATTTATTTTATTTTTATTTGTTTTTATTTACAGTACCTTTTTGGGTTTCTTTCTTATAACGTGGTGTTGCAATAAATGCTTTCTATTAGTGTTCTGCTAATATTTCTGAATAGATATTACTAGACCTTGTACCCGATTCAATGTATTAATTCAAACTGATGTTTTCTTGCAGGAAAATCCCGCTCAACGCGTCGAGCTATGATAATTACCCTCTTCCTACTCACAGCGGCCATCTTCCAAGGATTAATAGTAGTTCAAGTGTATGCGGAACCATTGTTTCAAGAGGCAGTACCGACCATGTCTGCTACTATGTGTAGTGCGCTGCTGGCGGTTACAACTATTGTGGCTGGTTTTGTTGGCGCTTATCTGACGGATCTTTGCGGACGACGGGTTGGTATATAAAATACATTAATGTAACTGGCAATTGAGGCCACTGCCTTAGAATAACAACGCATAGAAATCTAGTCCGCACACGCTAAGTGAGGCAAATTGAAGCGCTCCCAATGGGCCTACACGTGCGGGCGGGCCATCAGTGTTCAAGGTCAACTTGCACCGCGAACAGCTCAAGAATTTTAGCTAAAAATGACGAAATGTGCGGTAAATGAGTGTAAAAATACGTCAGACAAACATAAAATAGATACTAACATCACATTCCTTAAGGAAGTAACGCGTTTCAACTTGTATTTTTATATAAATATTCACTAAAACCGAAAATTAACCTACTACTAAAACTAGCCTACATGAACTTGATTTTTGCCTCACTTGTGACAGTTCGTTTGATATGAAACTATCATTCTATGCGTTATTATTCTAAGGCCACTGCGTCAAGCGAGCGTAGTTGACTCAACCCCCAGATCAGCCCAGAAATTCAAATAAATCAACCTCGTACTTTTGCGGTGGTAACCATAGGCTTCTGGAGGCTACAAGCGAAAATCATAAAGAGAATTTCTTTTATTGAATACGTTGACAAGAGAGCTGGAAGCATTTTCATGGATCTTAGCCATCCAAAACGGCAACGTTGGATCCTGGTGGTCACGACGTCTCAGGGCATCTCAATGGCTTTTTCTTTTGATGCCAAGTAACTATAGCAATGACTAAAGTTTTAAACGGACTTAGCACTACGGGTCAGGATATTTGCGCAATTTCACAAAATGAATACTTCAGCTCCTCTAGGTAAATGTATTATGCACTACCGACGTTTCTCAACAAACAAGAGGTCACGATGAAGTGGGAATGTAGTTCTTGCGCCAATACGCCTTAAACTGTATTTTACACTATCACCTTGTATAAATAAACCTCGTTTCGTTTTCAGCCACTCATGACGTACGCGTCAATAGGTGCCGGAATATGCTGCATTCTACTAGGGACTCAAATTCATCTCAAATGGGGCCCACAGTGGTTGACTGCAGCGTTGATCTACCTCTACGCTACTATGTACACTTTGGGAGCCGGCACAGTGCCCTTCGTTTTCCTTGTCGAAGTTTTCTTACCTGAGGTGAGCGAATAACTCCTTTCATTTATGCGTTCCTGGTATCCTGATGTTTTTTATAGTATTCTTCCGTAACAGAACGAAGGGAGATTTTTAATCGTTAGGGTCTTTTAGGAAGGTCTATTGTAAGTAACTACAGCTCAACAAGGTATGGTGCCACCAGATAGTCATAGAATCCTTAAGAAACGTCATTGTTATTATTTTTTACACCAACCGCGTGTGTACTAAATCGTGAAACCGTACACATCCGCGGTGGTTCTATAGCCATTTTATACTGCTGCATAGGTCTTTATCCTCTAAGCTCTTCTGTTGTACCTCTGTCCTTTATTCATCCCCCTGGATTTCTATGTATGATCTCACTCTCGCCTTCAATTTTATCTGAACTATATATAACAGATTGATGACGTTATGGAGTCTCTAACTTGTGTTTGGCGAACGTGGTCTAAAAACCCATAGACCTCGAGAAGTGCTCACAACTGTAACGTAGTATAGGTCAATTACGATGTATCTTAAGAGAATACTGATCGACTGCTATGAGTTTTGAAGACCTCCGTAATCGAGTGGCTTGTGCACTGGTTTTCATGGTGTCACCGTCTCTGAGATGTCGGGTTCGATCCCCGGCCGTACAATGTAGAAAAAAACTAACTGTTCTATATTGTCTTAGGTCTGGGTGTTTGTGGTACCGTAGTTGTTTCCGATTGCCATAACGCTTTAGTTACTTACTTTGGGATCAGATTAGATTTATTTATTTATGTACTAAAATAATAAAAATATGATTTCAGGTTAAAAGCTTCATGACAATGATGGTAGTAGAATGGGCGTGGCTGTGCAACTTCATCGTTCTATTCATCTTCAACCCTCTGGTCACCATGATTGGTCTTGGTCAAGTCTTCTATATATTTGCTGTTGTATGCATACTGTCAGCTATATACTCAGTAATGTACCAACCCGAAACTAAGGGTATGGCTGTTGACGAGATTCAAGATGCATTTCTTAAAAAACCAAAGAGAGAATGCCAAGAGATTATTTATGAATGAATAGGAAAACTGTGGAAATGGAGCTGGAAATAAAATTAGGATTGTGGTTGTAACGTGCATTTTACCAACTTACATAGACATGAAACACATTCCAATTTCAGCCTTCGGTGTAATTGGGTTATAAGAACTAGAACTTCTTATAATGTATCGCCATTTCTAATTTTTTAGAAGTCTTTAAACCTGAAAACGAGGCGAGTGACAAGGATTTCTTGTATTGAAATCTCAACATGTATTATAGACGCCGGCGCAGGATTCGTCTCAGTTTGAACTAGATAAAATGTTGTAATTAGCAGATATGTTATAGACCCCTCTAGTAATTAATGTTATACTATTATTTAATTCATTCGTTTTTGTAGTATCTACAATAGTGCAGTTGTTAAAATGAGATTTTTTTTGTAATTGTATCCTTTTTTCGCGAAATCCGTCTCATATATTTCTGAACTAGACATGGTGACTTATGCCTAGTGCTTTGTTAATTTGCTAATTATTATCAATAATTGCTAAATGGGAAGTTGATTTTTATAACACAAAGTACGTAATTACTCAATTTAATAGCAGCACTATAGTATCAACATTAATATAATTTCCATATTTTATGATCAAACAAGATTTTCATCGTATCATGGGGCAAATTTTTGGCGAATGTAAATAAAACACAGAATCGAAATTGACAGTTTGTTGTGTACATTTCTGTGTTTTATTTGTTATATAAACTTTGTTAAAGTGTACATTCGTCGATGAATAAACATACCAAAATATTTATATTGTTTTCATTACGCTTTATCAATTATCCTCATTATCATCCATAAGACGTCTACCTACGGTCCTGGATGGATGCATCCTTCAGCATGTCGATCTATCTGTCGCCTTTCACTGTTCCAGCTTGTTAACGCCATTGCAGATACTGTAATTCCTATTTACGTTGGCGTCATATGTGACGCGAGAGAGAGAGAGAGATGATATCACTTTACCTGATGTTAAATGGAAAGTGGAATCCAAATGTGAAACAAATGTGCGAAGTACTGGTATAATCACCGCCCTGGCCACCTGCATAGAATATGATTCAGCCTCATTTGAAGGGTACCATGTCATAAGAGTTCTAATTGTTGGCTATGCGACTGAGAAAGGTGCCAACCTTTTATTGAACTTCGGTGCAAAACTTTTTAGTTTTCGATGGAATATTGCAACTTGTAAAACTGGTGTTGTAAAAATCTGTAGTTCGGGAGTCTACATTTATAAATTTGACTCAAGTTTGCACGGCTCAGTGGTCATAAACACTCTCGAGTTCGAGTCTATAAAAATCTCGAGTCATAAATTTAATTCGAGTTAAAACTCGGGTCGAAGCGACTTCTATTCTATTCTACAAAGTCTCGAGTACGATAAGCATGGTTCAATTTTACTGAACAACTACTATTTACGAATTAAATAACTAAGTATGGTGATTTAAAAAAAAGAAGATATACTTAATTATACTACAGTTTAACACACCACACCATAACATATCGTTCAGTAGGTATTTACCAGACTCACGCTTGACTCGCTACATAAACAGACTCGAACTCAAGCACGTGTCGTTCCATAAATAGACTCGAGCATGTTAAAATATATGTTGAAGCTTGGAACTGTGGAAGTAATGAGGAATGGCTGTGCTGAGAACAATGTTTGTGGTGCGGCGGAAATTTGTTCCATACAAATGCTCACCAAATACAGTCTTAGGTATAAAATCTTAATCTTAATTTGACCACAGCATAAAGGAAAGGATTTGTACCGAATTAGTATGGAGCTTGGTACTTTATTCCCAGAAAAATATAACCAGCCTCAATTTCTTTGCTAGATTTAAGCTTGAAATAAAGAGCTTAGCAAAATAATTGAAAAACTTATTGTGACCTGCATTTTTAATTTATTTATTTAAAACAAATCGTGGTAGATATGTTAAATTAATTCTAGCAACACTGCGATACTAAAAAAGTCCAAAGTATTCAAAATCATAATTTTAACTGGCTAACTAAATTGCAACAAGAATGACTTTGACATCTGATGTGCCAATATTTTTATATGGCATTGGCCACTGGCACATAAGCCAAAAAATTACATAAAAATCCGTTTCGTGGGATTGCGTACCGTTTTACTTTACATAGTATTAAAAATCCCTAACGATATTCTGGAAATTGCAGGTCAAAAATAATTTGTTTTTAATTCAAACTTTCTAGATTTTGAGAGCTCTTTACAAAAAACCAACTAATAGCCTGGTTAAATTTTCCATTTATTTTAGTACCACTAAAGGAACAACTCCTTTATTAAAACGTAAGTGTTGAACAAAGCAGAGTGGCAGAGGAAGTGAAAAATGACATTTACTACTCTATGACTTCATAGAGTTTATTATATTTTTTTATTAGATACAATCTAAGGGGTATCATTGACTATCTTTCTAACAGAGCATTGATGTTGAACTCCAAACTGGGTAGGCTCGTAATACATCGAGCAGTGGAGTCTCTGTCTTTATGAGTCGAGTCTTGTGAATTGGAGTCCGAGTCCTAAAAGGTAGACTTCCGGACTCCAGTTTTCTACAACACTGTGTAAAACGGTGACTACGGAGGCCAGCATGCGTGCTTCTGAGGAGGAAAGGGAAAAATGTGAACACGCTGGAGAGTAACGACGATAAGATAAAGCACTTAATGTTTTGTTAGTCCTTAAGCTGTTATCCGTCCGTTATCTTGGCTTGTAACATATTTACTGATGATATACTGAAGAGAATGTGATGGAGTTTCGCAAGGAGTCACATTGGGCCCACTTATTTAAAAAAATCCCCACAATCTTATGCGGGTAAGGAAGATATCACACACATAACAATATTATAATATAGTAAATGGGCAAAAAAAAAACAAAAAAAATCAATACTAACATAATGATCAACAGCTTGTGTGTGCTGCAGCAAGTCAAATAGATTGTGTTTCAGTGCAAAATTGGCCCAAAAGCATAGCACTGATTTTCAGCCACCACCTTCAAGGGTAGCTTTCTTTGCGGTTCATCAAAAGCAAAAACATTGTGAAGTTAATGTAGTGTTCATATGTGTCAGTATCGACATTGAGTGTTATGTAGATTATAAAAATAAAAATAAATCTGCCCATCCTGCCGTTGGACGACAGGACTGGATACAGGATTGGGGGGTTACTTTGCTTAAATCTATGTTCATGGAAATCGAAGTAAACTAATTTGCCACTCTGCGAATACGATAAAGATTATATATATATAGATATATATTGCAAAATAGCTGCGCTTGCGTTGCGTAAAATGAGTTATCAAACGTATCAGGTATTGTGCACTTTCATGCTTTTTCTATAGTGGAAACCCGGTATATTATACCATTAAAAAGTGAATGAAAAGTACATTGTTGGGTATAAGTTAGATATTGAGACTTCATTTGCAATTTATCAATAACAAAATCCCCATGCTTATATCACTCAACCCTGAAAAAAAAAAACAACCTCAAAACTTTTGCAACTGGTGAAATTACAGGCACATGGGACTTGCCAACTTATGTCTCAGGAAGACGGGCGCAGTGGCAGTGCCTCTCAGATCTTTGCGATTTAAAGCTCTGAGTGGCACTGCAACTGTTATGGACAGGCGTGTAGCTTACCATCAGGCGCAAGGGTATCTTTACTTGGGAATTGTAAAATTTTGTTGAATACAAAATTTCATTATTGAAATTCTATTACAAGCATCTATCTAAAACTTTTGCGTTGAACAAAATTACAGGCGGTCTAAATTTAAAACAAAATTAGACACGCATATCGCAAATACCTATGGAATTGACAGCTGGTTAGATAGATTTTTGTGTGCTACCAACGGGAAATAACAGAAAAAAATTACAATCGTTTTATGAAATTATTAGATTTATTTTAATTTTTTTAGTTAGCAAGCAACGTGATGAACAAGCCATGCGCCTGATGGTAGACAACACGTCTAGCCATAACAGTTACTGTTATTACAGTGCCACTCAGATCGTTAAACGAGCACCCTTAACCAAAAACTAAAGAAATATCAAAGTTATATTTCCAAAGTTGACTTTGCACGTGTTATTGAGAAAACAAATAAAAGTTTCATTTATGCAATACATTGGTTTTGTCCACATGGGAAGTGGAATGGAAAGAGAGTACCAAAGTGATAGGAAAGCATTATGCAAACATTCAAAATGTCATCCCGAGTAAACCTTGGTTCTTTAAATTTAACGAAGCATCCGAATCTTGCACCTCCACCATATGTAGATTAAGGCTCGGCCGCTCGACCACCCCAGTTCACTTAGTTAAAATCAGGGTAAGGGACAGTTCGCTTTGCGCATGCGGGCTGGAGGAAGGAACTCCGGATCACATTTTCTTCAATTGTAACAAGTACCCAGTCTCTTTGTACGATGTCCTCCCCTCATTCATTCTCAAACCCACAAATTTTAATACGATTTTAAGTCTTGTGGATACGTCTTGCATCAATGTCCTTTGTGATTATATAACCAGGAATAACATAAATTTATAATTTGTTGGTCCTGCCTAACATACTTACCTACTAACATTTGTCTATATATATTGTTCTCCATCCCGTTCAGGTAATTCAACAGCTCTGCAACTTTAAAACCTAATAAGAAAGTATTTTTTATATCACATTGTGCTCTCACAATACTAATTGAATAGCAGAGTCTACAGAAGCCCTTAAAATTACTAAGCGGAAAACTCGATACTGGCGAAATCTAAAGGGTAGCGCCATTAAGCAAAAAGAAGAAGAAGAATTAATCAAATTTAGACAACTACTTTAATTTTATGAAAATGTATCGATGAAATTCGGGTCGTGATGACTCGGTGTCATTGTCGGCGTAATTATTTTCAAGTCATTGGCGCCGAGTTAAGAATCTATAGAACCTCAAATGGCTTTGGTTGATTCTGATATACCTACACTGTATATCGTGTGGGGTAGTACTGCCACCTTACCAAATTCTGCCGCCAAGCAGTAATGTCAGTATTACTGTGTTCCGGTTTAGAAGGGTAAAGGGTTCTGGTGAAATTACAGGCACATGAGACTTGTCAACATATGTCTCAGGGTTACGGGCGCAGTGCTGGTGTCCCTCAGATCTTTGCAATATTTAAAGCTCTGAGTGGCACTGTAACTGTTATGGATAGGCGTACGACATCTTCGTCCCTTCACTTGATGTTATAAAAAAAAACACTGATTACGGCATTGACTT